AAATTAAAATGATAAAAACAATACATATGAAAAAAGAACAATCTGCCTGCCAGAACGAGCATTCCTATTTAATAGATAAAGTCTGATGCAAGTAGTTCTCGACTTATTGGGCCCAAAAATTCCATTGCTAAGCAAGACAGTTGTTAAATGAGTTTTGTGATATTTCTTGCCAGAGTTGTTAAGAGAATGGCTGCAGTTGCTTAGTAATGGGGTTGTTAAGTCAATCTGGCATCCCCATTGACAACAACAACAACAGCAACAACAACAGTAATAGTAGTAGTAGTAGTATTAGTAGTAGTAGTAGTAGTATTAGTAGTAGTAAAGTTGGAAGGGACCTTGGAGGTCATCTAGTCCAACCCCCTGCTCAGGCAGGAAACCCTATACCATTTCGGACAAATGGCTGTCCAGTCTCTTCTTAAAAACTTCCAGTGTTGGAGCATTCACAGCTTCTGGAGGCAAGGAGTTCCACTGGTTAATTGTTCTGTCAGGAAGTTTCTCCTTAGTTCCAGGTTGCTTCTCTCCTTGCTTAGTTTCCGTCCGTTGCTCCTTGTCCTGCCTTCAGGGGCTTTGGAGAATAGCTTGACTCCTTCTTCTTTGTGGCAGCCCCTGAGATATTGGAACACTGCTATCATGTCCCCCCTCGTCCTTCTCTTCATTTGAGACTTTGATGGTCATAAGGTTGCAAAAAGTAATAATAATAATAATAAAGTTGGAAGGGACCTTGGAGGTCATCTAGTCCAACCCCCTGCTCAGGCAGGAAACCCTCTACCATTTCAGACAAATGGCTGTCTAGTCTCTTTTAAAGACTTCCAGTGTTGGAGCATTCACAGCTTTTGCAGGCAGGTTGTTAATAATAATAATGATGATGATGATGATGATGATGATGATGTTGGAAAGGACCTTGGAGGTCATCTAGTCCAACCCCCTGCTCAGGCAGGAAACCCTGTACCATTTCAGACAAAGGGCTGTCCAGTCTCTTCTTAAAAAAAATCGTGTTGGAGCATTTACAGCTTCTTGAGGCAGGTTGTTCCACTGGCTAATTGTTCTGTCAGGAAATTTCTCCTTAGTTCTAGGTGATCACATGATCCTGGGATGCTGCAGCTGCCATAAATACCTGCCAGTTGTGAAGCATCCTAAGTTTGATCCCGTGATCGTGGGGCTGATGCAACGGCCTTAAGTGTGAAAAATGGTCATAAGGAAGAGGAGGATGGTGGGGGTTCTTAATGCTCTCTGTGCTTGGTTGTTTCCTTACAGACATTTCATGACCTGACTAGGTAATATCATCCGTGTTAACAGAGAGTGGGGTTTGCGGACAGGAGGAGGAGGAAGAGGAGAAGGAGGAGGAGGAGGAGTTGGAGGAGGAGGACGACTGTGGGGTCCTTGGTCCCCTCTGAGCTTGGTTGTTTTCTTGCAGACGTTTCATGACCCAACTAGGGAACATCATCAGTGCTAGAAGGGAGTGGGGTTTGTGGTGTAAAGGAGGAGGAGGAGGAGGAAGAGGAGGAGGAGGAGGAGGAGGACTGTGGGGTCCTTGGTCCCCTCTGAGCTTGGTTCTTTGCTGACATTTCATTACCCAACTTGGTCATTGTTTTCAGCGCCCTCATGTCTTCAAACGGTTGCTAAATGACTATTAAGTGAGGATTACTCTACCCAATTACAACGCCGAGACGGCTTGTGTTGCTGATGGGCGCTGCGTTTTTGAAAACCCCCAGGTTCCTGACCTTCTCACTTCCCTGTCTTTCTGACGTAGAACCAATGTCCTGGACACCAAAAACGACGCCTATCTGAAGACGTGTCGCTATGGAGCAGACCAGCCCTACTGCCCCATCTTCTCACTGGGGAAACTGGTCAGCTGGGCCGGGAGCAACTTTCACGAGATGGCGTCAGAGGTACGAAAACAAACTGAGGCTGCGCCTTCCTTTAGCTGGTGGTTTGTCATAAACTAAAGCGATCTTTATGACAAAGTCACCCAGCCGGCTTTCATGCCTAAGTTGGAACTAGAACTCACTGTCTCCTGGTGATTGGCCCAAAGTCACCTAGCCAGGCTTTGATGCCTAAAGTGGGAGTAGAACTCACCGTCTCCTGGTGATTGGCCCAATTTCATGCCTAAGGTGGGACTAGAACTCATTGTCTCCTGGTGATTGGCCCCAAGTCACCCAGCTGGTTTTCATGTCTAAGTTGGAACTAGAACTCACCATCTCCTGGTGATTGGCCCAAAGTCACCCAGGCAAGTTTCATATCTAAATTGGAACTAGAACTCACTGTCTCCTGGTGATTGAACTCACTGTCTCCTGGCGATTGGCCCCAAGTCACCCAGCTGGTTTTCATGTCTAAGTTGGAACTAGAACTCACCATCTCCTGGTGATTGGCCCAAAGTCACCCAGGCAAGTTTCATATCTAAATTGGAACTAGAACTCACTGTCTCCTGGTGATTGAGCCCATTCACCCAGCCGGCTTTCATCCTAAGTTGGAACTAGAACTCACTGTCTCCTAGTGATTGGCCCCAAGTCACCCAGGCAAGTTTCATGTCTAAGTTGGAACTAGAACTCACCGTCTTCTGGTGATTGAGCCCAGTCACCCAGCCAGCTTTCATGCCTAGGTTGGAACTAGAACTCACCGTCTCCTGGTGATTGGCCCAAAGTCACTCAGGCAAGTTTCATGCCTAAGTTGGAACTAGAACTCACTGTCTCCTGGTGATTGAGCCCAGTCACCCAGCCGGCTTTCATCCTAAATTGGAACTAGAACTCACTGTCTCCTAGTGATTGGCCCCAAGTCACCCAGGCAAGTTTCATGTCTAAGTTGGAACTAAAACTCACCGTCTTCTGGTGATTGAGCCCAGTCACCCAGCCAGCTTTCATGCCTAGGTTGGAACTAGAACTCACCGTCTCCTGGTGATTGGCCCAAAGTCACCCAGGCAAGTTTCATGTCTAAATTGGAACTAGAACTCACCGTCTCCTGGTGATTGGCCCAAAGTCACCCAGGCAAGTTTCATGTCTAAGTTGGAACTAGAACTCACCATCTCCTGGTGATTGGCCCAAAGTCACCCAGGCAAGTTTCATGTCTAAATTGGAACTAGAACTCACCGTCTCCTGGTGATTGACCCAAAGTCACTCAACCGGTTTTCCTGCCTAAATGTGATATAAATTAGTCAGGTGTCCACAGGATGCTGCAAACAGCCAAAAATGCACCCAAAATGTGGCTGTGGGCGGGGGGATGAATGGCCTATTGGGAGGGGTCCATCCTAACGTTGAATTATTATGCAGTCAGTCGTAAGTCAAGGACTACCTGAATTTAGGACAGGCTGTGGACCCATCATGCCAACTCTGGTGAATCTCCCAAGGTTTTTGAGGGGAAACAGCATCCTGTTCTTCTGCCAAAACCTTTTTCTGTTTTGTTTTTTTTCTTTTAATCCAGGGCGGTGTGATTGGCATCCAGATTGAATGGGATTGTAACTTGGATAAAAAGCCATCCGAATGCAACCCTCGCTATTCTTTCAGTCGCCTAGATAACAAATTTGCGGAGAAGTCGGTCTCCTCTGGATACAACTTCAGGTAACGGAGACGGAGGTGGCGTTTGGCTGGACAATCACTTAGATAGGAGCCAGCTGTGTGCTGCAGCTGCCAAAAAGGCCAACACAGTGCTGGGCTGCATTAACAGAGGGAGAGAATCAAGATCACTTGAAGGGTTAATACCACTTTATAAGGCCTTGGTAAGGCCACACTTGGAATACTGCATCCAGTTTTGGTCACCACGATGTAAAAAAGATGCTGAGACTCTAGAAAGAGTGCAGAGAAGAGCAACAAAGATGATTAGGGGACTGGAGGCTAAAACATATAAGGAAAGGCTGCTGGAATTGGGTCTGTCTAGTTTAACGAAGAGAAGGACGAGGGGGACAGGATAGCAGTCTTCCAATATCTCAGGGGCTGCCCCAAAGAAGAGGGAGTCAAGCTATTTTCCAAAGCGCCTGAAGGCAGGACAAGAAGCAACGGATGGAAACTAACCAAGGAGAGAAGCAACCTGGAACTAAGGAGAAACTTCCTGACAGTTAGAACAATTAACCAGTGGAACAACCTGCCTCCAGAAGCGGTGAATGCTCCATCACTGGAGGTTTTTAAGAAGAAACTGGACAAGCATTTGTTTGAAATGGTATAAGGTTTCCTGCCTGAGCAGGGGGTTGGACTAGATGACCTCCAAGGTCTCCTCCTCCTCCTCCTCCTCCTCCTCCTCCTCCTCCTTCTTCTTCTTCTTCTTCCTCTTCTTCCCCTGCTACTTCGGCACTTTCAATCTTTCTGAAATTGCTTCAATGGCCAAATCGGGATGAATTGACCCAGGTCAGTGCTGGGAAACTGCCAGCCAGGCTGGAAGGAGGAGTCAAGCGAGGGCCTAGCTTGGAATCCTTGCACAGATGCAAGAGTCATAAGCTGAGCTACCCCAATATCCACGAAGCCCGGCCTATCTGGTCATTCCCAGGGGATGGCAGAGAAGTCTCCAGGGGCGATAGATAATAAAATTAATGACTTTTGTTACAGGTAATCCTTGATTTTTTGACCCCAAAACTTTCCATTGCTAAGTGAGTGAGTTTTGCCCCATTTTACAACTTTCCTGCCACAACTGTTAAGCGAATCACTGCAGTTGTTCAGTTAGTAACACGGTTGTTAAGTGGATCCAGCTTTCCCATCTCAAAAGGAGATTACGTGACCCGGGGACGTTGCGACCGTCATAAACACGAGTCAGTTGCCAAGCGTCTGGCTTTTGATCACGGGACCCTGGGGGAAGGCTGCCACGGTTGTAAAAGTGTGAAAAACGGCCCCTTTTTTCACTGCCGTTGTAACTTTGAACCGTCCCTACGTTGTAAGTTGAGGATTATCTGTCATCGAACAGTAAATGGTCTGAAATGGCATAGGGTTTCCTGCCTGAGCAGGGGGTTGGACTAGATGACCTCCAAGGTCCCTTCCAACTTTTTATTATTATTATTATTATTATTATTATTATTATTATTATTATTATTATTATTATTATTATTATTATTATTATTATTATTTATCTGTCAATGAAGCCTAAGGGGGGAAAAAAAGAGATTTCTCTTCTACTTGGAAAAATAAATCACACGAGATTTTATGATTGTTTTTGTTGTTGTTGTTCAGATTTGCCAAGTATTACCGGAGCGTGGCTGATATCGATTTCCGAATGCTGATCAAAGCCTACGGGATCCGCTTTGATATCATGGTGAATGGCAAGGTGAGGTGGGGCAGACGGCAGCGAAAAATATAGATTTGCGATAGTGGCGAATATCTGCAGCCCGGGTGTTGAAGGAGCGTGGAGGTTCGTTCTCGGAGCTTGTGAGTTGGTTTCCAAACATTTCGTTACCAGGCTGGGTAACATCTTCAGAAAGAGTGTAGGGCAGAGGTAGGCAACCTCGGCTCTTTTATGACTCGTGGACTTCAACTCCCAGAATTCCTGAGCCAGCCATGCTGAGGGGAAAGGGAGAGGTTTCCAAGCTGAGCCATGCTGCCTCAGGAATTCTGGGAGTTGAAGTCCACGAGTCATGAAGGGGCCATAGTTCCCCCATGCGGGCTCAGGAATTCTGGGAGTTGAAGTCCGCAAGTCATGAAGGGGCCATAGTTCCCCCATGCTGGCTCAGGAATTCTGGGAGTTGAAGTCCATGAGTCTTAAAAGAGCCAAGGTTGCCTACCCCCACCTCAGGCAGGAAACCCTATACCATTTTGGACAAATGGCTGTCCAGTTTCTTCTTTAAAACTTCCAGTGTTGGAGCATTCACAGCTTCTGGAGGCAGGTTGTTCCACTGGTTAATTGTTCTAACTGTCAGAAAATTCCTCCTTAGTTCTAGGTTGCTTCTCTCTTTGATGAGTTTCCGTTGCTTCTTGTCCTGCCTTCAGGCACTTTGGAGAATAGCTTGACTCCCTCTTCTTTGGGGCAGCCCCTGAGATACTGGAAGGCTGCTATCATGTCCCCCCCCTCGTCCTTCTCTTCGTTAAACTAGACGTACCCAATTCCAGCAGCCTTTCCTTATATGTTTTAGCCTCTAGTCCCCTGATCCTCTTTGTTGCTCTTCTCTGCACTCTTTCTGGAGTCTCAACATCTTTTTTACGTCGTGGTGACCAAAACTGGATGCAGTTATTCCAAGTGTGGCCTTACTAAGGCCTTGTAAAGTGGTATTAATAGTTCAATTCGCTTAAAAGTCATGGCAAGAAAAGTCGTAAAGTGGGGCAAAGCTCGCTTAACAACTTAGCCACAGAAATTTGGGGCTGAGTTGTGGTTATGAGTCGTAGGCACAAACTTTAAAATCTGCGCACACCTCCACCAGATTCACGCTTTCTTCCTTTCCTTTCAGGCGGGAAAATTCAACATCATCCCGACGGTGATCAACGTGGGATCCAGTCTGGCGCTAATGGGAGTGGTAGGTCTCTCGTTCGGGATGGAAGCAAGCAATTGCTGGATTACAGGCAATCTTCGACTTACAATTAGAGATGGGAACGCCTGGAACAAAAAATCGGAAAAATTTCGGGGGGAAAAAAAACAAGGAAAAATTGGGGGAAAAAACGGGGTTTTTTTTGTTTTTTTAAAAAATCCACTTTGGAAAAAAAATGGGGAAAAAAAACCCAGTTTTTCCCCCATTTTTTTCAAGGCCGTTTAAAAAAACAAACCCGTTTCCCCTCAAATTTTACAGGTTTTTCCCAAGCGTTCCCATCTCTACTTACAATCATTCATTTAGCAACCATTCAAAGTTACAATGTCACTCAAACAAACCACTTACGACCATGGTTACGTGATCCTAATTCGGGCGCTTGATCACCAGCACGTATTTATTTGATGGTTGTGGTGTTGTGGGATCACATGATTTCCCCCATTTGTGACTTTCTCAGCTGGCTTCCAACAAGCAAAGTCAATGAGGGAATCTGGAATCGTTTCAGGGGGTTGGACTAGATGACCTCCAAGGTCCCTTCCAACATAATCATCATCATCATTATCATTATTATTATTATTATTATTATTATTATTATTATTATTATTATTATTATTACTATTATTAATAATCATCGCACAATCAGCCAGATGTTCAGACTGGATCTGGCATTTTGTCTACCTATCGAGTCCTTACCAAGGACCTGGGATAGGCAGATGTGGATGTTTGATGGTATTACAGATCTCGTCGCAGGATGGAAGCAGTTCCTAGTAAGGCCGCCTTTTGCAATTGACTCATGGCGAATTTGTCAATGCTGCGACGGTCATTAAGTGTGAAAAATGGTCATTTTTTTTCCAGGACTTTGAACCGTCGTGGACTCCCCGTATTATCTTATTTTACCTTATGTTATTAAAATATTATTATATACGGTAGCTTCTTCTCTTAAGTGGCACTGCGAGTTTGGGCTTCCCAGCTAAAATAAAATAGAATAAAATAATAATTAAAAGAAAAAAGCCTTGCTAGAATAAGCGTGCAACTGAAAATACAAAACCTTTTTTAAAAGTTACTGCTAGCATGTGGAATTCCATTCCGTTCATAGGGTGTTGTTTCTGAAATTCCAGGGCGCGTTCTTCTGCGACTTGGTCCTGCTGTATCTTCTCCGAAAGAGCCAGTTTTACCGAGGGAAAAAATATGAGGAAGTGAGGTAGGTTGCCTGCAGCCGTGAAGCGTTCCCGATTCATAGAGATTTATTATTTATCACTTCTGACCTGGTAAGAAATCTTCCCACTTGGATTTTTCTACGATGGGGGCTTGCAAGCCCTTCTTAGGCTAAATTGATATCCTCCAGATCAGGGATCTTCAAACTTGGCCCTTTTATGACTGGTGGACTTCAACTCCCAGAATTCCTCAGCCAGCCATGCTAGCCCAGGAATTCTGGGAGTTGAAGTCCACAAGTCATGATGGGGCCATAGTTCCCCCATGCTGGCTCAGGAATTCTGGGAGTTGAAGTCCACCAGTCATAAAGGGGGCCATAGTTCCCCCATGCTGGCTCAGGAATTCTGGGAATTGAAGTCCACAAGTCATAAAAGGGCCAAGTTTGAAGGCCCTTGTCCCAGATCAAGCCATCCTGTGGCTTAGCGTGTACAAATGGTCCACAATTTACATTTAATGAAGAGAAGGACGAAGGGGGACATGATAGCAAGGTTCCAATATCTGAGGGGCTGCCCCAAAAAAGAGGGAGTCAAGCTATTCTCCAAAGCACCTGAAGGCAGGACAAGAAGCAATGGATGGAAACTAACCAAGGAGAGAAGCAACCTGGAACTAAGGAGAAACTTCCTGACAGTGAGAACAATTAACCAGTGGAACAACCTGCCTCCAGAAGCGGTGAATGCTCCAACACTGGAAGTTTTTAAGAAGAGACTGGACAGCCATTAGTCTGAAATGGTATAGGGTATCCTGCTTGAGCAGGGGGTTGGACTAGAAGACCTCCAAGGTCCCTTCCAGTTCTATCCCAATGATGATGATGATAATTATGATTTAGAAATAAAACACAGTTACACACCATTTCAACAAGACAATAAAAAGCTAAGAAGGAAGCAAACAAACAAGCAAAAAATACAGAACAGATCCTTTCTAGCAACCCAGATAAGCAGGGATGAACACCAGACAAACCATCAAGCAGAAAACAATACCCTAATCAAGGAGCTACTAAGGAGAAAATATCGCGCACACACCAATACTGGTAGGACAAGCTATTGTATATATTCTTGTCTTTTTGTTTCCTTCTTAGCTTTTTGTTATCTCTTTTGAATGACAAACAATAATAATAGAATAGAGCTGGAAGGGACCTTGGAGGTCTTCTAGTCCAGCCCACTGCTCAAGCAGGAGAATCTACAACATCTCAGACAAGTGACTATCTAGTCTCTTCTTAAAAATCTCCAGTGATGGAGCGCCCACGATTTCTGGAGGCAAGCAGTTCCACTGGTTAATTATCCTCACTGTCAGGAAATTTGTCCTTAATTCCAGGTTGCTTCTCTCCTTGATCAGTTTCCAACCATTGTTTCGTGTCCTTCCCTCTGGTGCTTTGGTGAATAACGTGACCCCTCTTCTTTGTGGCAGCCCCTCAGATACTGGAACACTGCTATCATGTCTCCCCTATTTCTTCTTTTCTTAAGACTAGCCAGACCCAAGTCCCGTAGACGTTCTTCGTATGTTTCAGTCTCCAGGCCTTGGATCATCTTAGTTGCTCTTCTCTGAACTTTTTCCAAACTCTCAACATCTTTTTTGTGATATGGTGACCAAAACTGGCTGCAATATTTAAGCTGTGGTCTCACTAGGGTTTTATAAAGCAGTACTAATACTTCACGTGATCTTGATTCTACACCTCTGTTTATACAACCCAGGATTGTATTAGTTTTTTTGGCTGCTGCCGCACACTGCTGGCTCATGGCTAAGTGATCGTCCACTAGGGCTATTTGGCTATTGACAAACTCCACCCCAGAGCAAGCCCCACACTCACCAGCGCTGATGATGTTACCTAGTTGGGTCATGAAACGTCTGCCAGTAAACAACCAAGCTCAGAGAGCACCAAGGACTCCGTATTTGCTCATTTTCTTGAATTTCCCTTTCCTCACGTAGGTCAAACGCCAAGAAATCTTTACCGGCAACTACCATCAACGGGAACCAGACCGGGAACCAGAGTGCAGATTCTTTATCCCGATTGGATCAGCTCGAACAGCTACAGACGGCCGAGACTTAAAACCGTGTCTTTCTCTAGAGACCCTCCTTCGCAAAGTCGTCAGTCATTAAGAGAAACCACGGACCACAGAAGCTGCAAAAAAGGATGCGTTTTCAGCTTCTTATGACCTCATTTTTTGGAATCCGGAGCCAAGGGTAGCTGTCCGCGTTGCAGGATTTTAACTTTTTAAAATCGAAACCAAATACCAGACAATCTTGTAGTTGCATGGTGGATATAAAGGGGTCACTCTTTGTGTGGCATCTGGATAACCTAACACAGCTGTTCTTAGCCTGTGAAATTTATGTCAAAAGGGCCACCGATGATTGGAGGAGACAGTTGTCCACGTTGAATTATTATTATTGTTCAGCATGCAGTCAGCCAGATGTTCAGACTGGATTTGGCACCCACCTGTCCAGTCCTTCCCAAGGACCTGGGATAGGCAGATGCGGATATTTCATGATGTTTAGAGATATTGTTCCAGGATGTCAGCTGTTCCCAATCAAGCTGCCTTTTGCAATTGACCGATGGCGAATTGGTCAGCGCCGATGGCATTCAAGGGGTGCTCCAGATTGGCTTATTATGGTTCTTTGCATAGTCGGCCAGATGTTCAGTCTGGATTTGGCCTTTTTGTCCGCCCAAGGACCTGGGATAGGCAGATGTGGATGCTTGAATGGGGTGAAAAGTTTCACCACAGGATTTAAGCTCTTCTGAGTAAAGCTGCCTTTTGCAGTTGACCGATGGTGAATTTGTCAATCCCAATGGCATTCAAGGGGTGCTCCAGATGTTTTGGGATTGCACCCAAAGCACCCATCGCTATTGGTACTATGTTTGCTTTCTTTTGCCATAGTCATTATTATAATATTATTATTATGTAATTTATTTGCCATTCATCTTTGCCCTTCAAAGCAACTCTGAGAATAATCACATTCTGGGCATCTCGTCTGCAATTATACGATGAGTAAGATTTTAATCATTCTGCTCTCCATTTTGGATCTCTCCCTGCAAATTGTTAAGCCCGTGGGATTATGCCGGCTTTCGAAATAAAATTCTTGCAAGCTGCGTAAACATTTCTCCAGCCTGTGGGATGAGGCAGGAATTCTAAACAAATTCCTGCAACATGCAGAAGCAATTCTCCAACATCCAACAACTCTATGAAAAATAGATCACAATGGAGATGTGTAAAGTGTCTCGAATCTCCACTTCAGGGAAAGGAGAAAGTCTGAATTTTATTTTTTTCTGCCTATGGTATGAATTTACATACAAACCCAGGTCTTGCTTTACGACCTGCGCACAGGGTGGGCAAGTCGCAGGAATTAAATCAGATGTGTTACTTATGCAGCTACAAGCCATATTCCTGATTGCTGGTTCGCCAGGAATTTCTGCATGTTTTTTTTAAAAAAAATGGGTTGATGTTGTTAAAAATAAACATGATTTTGATGAGAATAGATCATAAAGAGTTTTTTTTAAAAAACTATAGATCAAGAGATAATAATAATAAAGTTGGAAGGGACCTTGGAGGTCATCTAGTCCAACCCCCTGCTCAGGCAGGAAACCCTAGACCATTTCAGACAAATGGCTGTCCAGTCTCTTCTTAAAAACTTCCAGCGTTGGAGCATTCACCACTTCTGGTGGCAAGCTGTTCCACTGGTTAATTGTTCTGTCAGGAAGTTTCTCCTTAGTTCCAGGTTGCTTCTCTCCTTGATGAGTTTCCATCTGTTGCTTCTCGTCCTGCCTTCAGGCGCCTTGGAGAATAGCTTGACTCCCTCTTCTTTGGGGCAGCCCCTGAGATACTGTAATGCTGCTATCATGCATGTCCCCCCTCGTCCTTCTCTTTGTCAAACTAGATAATGTTGCATTTGTATTTATAATTGCTGCAAAGAAAATTGGAAACTACTTCTATTTTTTTATTTTCAGTTTCTTTTGGCAGTTTGGGCTTTTTTTCTCCTTTCCTGTCTTTCCTTTACATCCTCATAGGGTTGTTGTTAGGAAAGTAGGAGGAGGAAGCAGTAGTATGTTTGGCACCTTGAGTTATTTATAAAAATCATAGAGGAACATATCACCCCCAGAAATCGTGGGCGCTCCATCACTGGAGATTTTTAAGAAGGGACTGGACATTCACCTGAGATAGTATAGGTCCAGCAGGGGGCTGGACTAGAAGACCTCCAAGGCCCCTTCCAGCTCTTTTCTATTCAACGTGTGAAACCGGAAGTAAACGGCAAAAACATCGTAAATCATGGCCATGTAACCACAGGATACTGAAAACCGATGTAAATGGGGCCTGGTTGCCAGGCAGCTAAAAATTTAGTCAGTTTGTGTGTGTGTGTAAAATTCAGTCATGTTAGTGTGTGTGTGTGTGTGTGTGTGTGTGCATCACGACGTCAGAACTGGATCATAAGTTTCGCTGGGAAGGCCATATTCAGAGTCATAATTTCGGTCGTAAAGCCAAAACTCCATCAGGACCAAGCTTACGTTTTTGTAAGCTTTAAAAATATATATATTTTAAAAAAGGATTCCTATAATTAGGCATAATTAGCAAAATGAATTGTGTACCGGAGGAATTCTGGGAGTTGAAGTCCACAGGTCTTAAAAGTGGCCGAGATTAACATAGACCAAAGCTTACAGTTTCTTTGCCAAGACACAGAAGCAATGAATGCAAAAGGGAGATTGTGACAAAAAAATGCACGTATTTCCCCCCCCAAATTTTATTTCGTGAAAATACCAGCGAAGAAGCATTTGACGCAGTGGGAAAAGGAAGAACTAATGATATTTTTTTTTTCAAGATCATTGACACTCTTCTCCTGTGTCTCCAAATGGACCTTGCAAAACTGTGCATGCGTGAAAAAGTTATTCGCTGTGTCTTTATGAAAGCTGGATTATGAATGTAAAGAATAAAAAGAAGTGTGTGAAACATTTGCAGTCGTTTCTGTGCAACTTCAACGTTCCCTAAAAAGGGAACTGTCGAAAAAAATACACAATTTAACAGCCTGTTTCTCATCACAGCCAGCCAGGATCCTCCATTAAGCCTAGACCAAGAACGCAACATCTCAGTCTGTTGTTGATCTGGACAAATAAGCCTGTTTCATGCCAGTGTTGTTACTAGCAGCCATTGATTAACTCAGTCTAAAGAGATTTATCTGTTCCTCCTTTAAGGTAAAAAAAAATCTGGAGACTGGTAGTACCTTTCCCACCCACATTTAAAATTAAAAAAGGTAAGTTTTGTTTGGGTCTTTTAATATCTGTCAGGGGAAAAAAAGCAAACACCAACAGAAGCCTCAAAATGACCCATTTTTCCATCTTGCTTTAGTGCCCAGAAAAAAATTGCTTTATGCGAAGAGATTTTTTCCTGCGTGTGACCACGTCTGAGAGGGAAATTCAATGAATTTTCACTGCCTTAATATCTTCCTCCAGAAATCCCTACGCAGAGAATACTAAATACACAGAAATATAGGATTTCCTCCCCAAATCTCAACAAAAAAAGAACAAAAACTAAAATTGTGGCACATGAAAGCATGACTGTGATGTAACTGTAGCCAGAGGACTGCTGAGAAGATAGAATGGCTGCAGTTTTTTTTAGTTAAAGGATAAAAAAAAAATTGTAACTGGAGGAAGAGGGATGCATTGGACAAAAAAGAACATTTAACCCAATTTGAGTTCTTCTATTAAGGGGAAAAAAATGTAGGACGATTGTAAAGAATAACATGCAGAGGAATATTTGTAGTTGAGGGTTGAACTGGGGGGTCCTTGGTGTTCTCCGAGTTTGGCGGTTTTCTTGCAGACGTTTCATGACCCAACTAAGGAACATTATCAGTATGAGGGTGGGGGTTGCTGCCTATTTATATATAGTAGTTTGCCCTGGGGTGGAGTCTATCATTTGACAAATATCAGCCATCAATATACATGTAGAGGTAAAGCACATTTACACACCATTCAAGAGAAACAATAAAAAGTTGAGGAAAGAAAAAGTCCAGAATATATCCTTTCTTGCAGTTGACATCCAGTTAAGCAGGAATCAACACCAAACAAACAGAAAACAATACTCTAATCAAGGTATGCCACTCACACACACAGAGCAATGGGAGGTATGCCATTATACATAAATGAGCAATTCCCACACATGAACTATTAATACCACTTTACAATGCCTTGGTAAGGCCACACTTGGAATACGGCATCCAGTTTTGGTCACCACGATATAAAAAAGATGCTGAGACTCTAGAAAGAGTGCAGAGAAGAGCAACAAAGATGATTAGGGGACTGGAGGCTAAAGCATATAAGGAACAGTTGCTGGAATTGGGGATGTCTAGTTTAATGAAAAGAAGGACAAGGGGGGACATGATAGCAGTCTTCCAGTATCTCAGGGGCTGCCACAAAGAAGAGGGAGTCAAGCTAAGCCGCCTGAGGGCAGAACAAGAAGCACCGGATGGAAACTAACCCAGAAGAGAAGCAACCTGGAACTAAGGAGAAATTTCCTGACAGTGAGAACAATTAACCAGGGGAACAACCTGCCTCCAGAAACGGTGAATGCTGCCACACTGGAAGTTTTTAAGAAGAGATTGGACAGCCATTTGTCTGAAATGGTATAGGGTTTCCTGCCTGAGCAGGGGGTTGGACTAGATGACCTCCAAGGTCCCTTCCAACTTTATTATTATTATTATTATTATTATTATTATTATTATTATTATTATTATTATTATTATTATTATTATTATTATTATTATTATTTATTATACTTAGTAGTGCGGATGATAGCACTGGCTATAGGTAGCATTCAGACTGAATACACTGCTTCATAGGACTTTACAGCCCTCTCTAAGCAGTTTACAGAGTCAGCCTATTTGCCCCCAACAATTTGGATCCTCATTTTACCGACCTCGGAAGGATAGAAGGCTGAGTCAACCTTGAACTGGTCAGGCTCAAACTGCTGGCAGTGGGCAGAGTTAGCCTGTAATACCACTTTCTAACCACTGCGCCACCACAGCTCGATAATGTTACCTAGTTGGGTAAAGAAATGTCTGTAAGAAAACCACCAAGCTCAGAGAGCACCAAGGACCCCAACAAACTGGCATTATCCTTCTGGCCTCAGTTGCAGCATTACGTCTTCTTAATTTAACCTAGCACAGGGGTAGGCAACCTTGGCCCCTTCGTGATTCGTGGACTTCAACTCCCAGAATTCCTGAGCCAGCATGAGGGAACTGTGGCCCCTTCAGGACTTGTGGACTTCAACTCCCAGAATTCCTGAGCCAGTATGGGGGAACTATGGCCCCTTCATGACTCGTGGACTTCAACTCCCAGAATTCCTGAGCCAGCATGGCTCAGCTTGGAAACCTCTCCCTTTCCCCTCAGCATGGCTGGCTCAGGAATTCTGGGAGTTGAATTCCACGAGTCATAAAAGAGCCAAGGTTGCCTACCCCTGGGATAGGGAGTAATACATTATCTTTCCGATTCTTTTTCTCGAATCCAGGGCATGTAGGCCTGCAGTCCTACATGCAGTACCCCAGGCGTCTCCAAAGTCTCCCACTTTTTAAGACGTGTGGACTTCAACTCCCAGAACTCCTCAGCTATGGCTGGATCAGGAATTCTGGGAGCTGGAAGTCCACAAGTCTTAAAGGTGCCAGGTTTGGAGAGCCCTGTACTACGTTGGGCAGGGACGAGAAACCTGGGTCTCCACGGTTCTTGAACTGATGGAGATTGAACATTAAGATCCAGCATCAATCACCTTTGGCCACACCGGCTGGGTTGTGAACATGGAGACAGCTACAAATATTTTCCCCCCCCCACTTTCCACAACAAAGCTCCCACTGAACTTGTTGCAAATGTTTACTTGGAAGTAAGTAGTAGCTCCAGGCCGAGTGTCCCTCCCTCCACACACAGCCTGCCTGTAACCAGGCTATGAAAACTGTTGTTTTTTTTCCTTCTGAAGTCTTTCAACCGAGGTGCACACAAAACAGATCAAGCACTGAATATTGATGTAGAATTTTTTCCCCCCCCAAAAAATTGTAGATTTGGTTACACTGCAGTTCAAGTCTCCGAAGGTTGGCTAAGGGAGTTAGAACAGAATTCTAGAGAGAGGGAGTAAGTCTGGCTGAGGGATAAAACGAGAAGAACGGAACATCCTCTGGACTGGAGGACAGGTTATTTACACATCATTTTAAAAAGGTTTGGGGTGGGGTGGGGTTCACATTCTGTTTTAATTAGCAGGATTCTACAGGCTTGCGTTCTGACATACGTTAGGCAGCGGGCGGAGAGTGCAAGCAGCGGGCCAGGACCCTCAGTTTTAGGGCATCAGAGAGGAAGGGACCCTGCCTGGGCCACGCTCCTCAGAACTGTTCTGGCTATACCTTCTTCTTCCTCCTCCTCCTCCTCCTCCTCCTCCTAGTAAACATGCACCATGCCATAGAGGAAAGTCCAGAAAAGAATATAGGTGAATAACCCCCCGATCAGCCCCCCGGTAAAGAGAGGCCTCCGGGATTTAAAGTACTTGTTCCATCGCCGTCCGGCTTTTAAGACCAAAAGCACCGAGAGCAAGACGGAGGCCAGGAAGTAGAAGACGAAGCCGTAGAGGCCGTTGAGGCCGAGAATGCCGGCGGTGGCCCCCGACAGAGCGGAGACGGAGGTCCTGCAATAATCCAGGATGGCTGCGTTGCCCCGGACGGCTGCTTCGCTGATGAACTGGGGGCCTTCCCGTTTGGCCACCACGGCGGCCATGGCTGCGACTGGGAGTGGCGGGGCAGCTCCCCTCCGTCAGGGCTGTGCTTTCTGCGAGGAAAAAAATGGAATCATTCACGGATGCAGGTTTTGTTTCTTGGAAAACCCAAGATACTGCCCTTCAACGGAGCCGGGTAACAAATGAGAAACAGATTTTATTAATCATTACAAAGTCATTACTAAAAGCCAACAAGGGTTTGTCAAAAACAGATGATGCCAGACAAATCTTATTGCATGCTTTGACCAAGTGACAAAATTAGTGGATCAGAGGAATGCTGTGGACCTAATTTACTTGGACTTCAGTAAGGCATTTGATAAAGTAGATTACAACCTACTACTTGACAAGATAGAAAAATGTGGGTTAGACAGCATCACCACCAGATGGATCTTAGCTGGCTGACCAGCCGTGCTCAGTGTGTGGTCCTCAATGGAACCGCATCTACATGGAGGGAAGTGTGTAGTGGGGTGCCCCAGGGCTCTGTTCTGGGCCCAGTGCTCTTCAACATCTTCATCAACGATTTGGACAAGGGGATAGATGGGGAACTCATCAAATTTGCAGACGACACCAAGCTGGCAGGAATAGCCAACACTCCAGAAGACAGGCTTAGGATACAGGAGGATCTGGACAGACTTGAACACTGGGCGCTATCTAACAAAATGAAATTCAATGGTGAAAAAAATAAGGTTCTACATTTAGGCAAGAAAAACCAAATGTACAGCTATAGTATAGGGGGTACCTTGCTCAATAGTAGTAACTGTGAGAGGGACCTCAGAATCCTAGTGGACAATCACCTAAATATGAGCCAGCAGTGTGCTGCAGCTGCCAAAAAAGCCAACACAATGCTAGGCTGCATTAACAGAGGGATAGAATCAAGATCACGTGAAGTATTAATACCACTTTACAATGCCTTGGTAAGGCCACACTTGGAATACTGCATCCAGTTTGGTCACCACGATGTAAAAAAGATGCTGAGACTTTAGAAAGAGTACAGAGAAGAAAAGCAACAAAGATGATCAGGGGACTGGAGGCTAAAACATATAAGGAACGGTTGCTGGAATTGGGTATGTCTAGTTTAATGAAGAGAAGGACAAGGGGGGATATGATAGCAGTGTTCCAATATCTCAGGGGCTGCCACAAAGAAGAGGGAGTCAAGCTATTTTCCAAGGTGCCTGAAGACAGGACAAGAAGCAACAGGTGGAAACTAATCAAGGAGAGAAGCAACCTGGAACTAAGGAGAAACTTCCTGACAGTTAGAACAATTAACCAGTGGAACAACCTGCCTCCAGAAGCAGTGAATCTCAAACACTGGAAGTTTTTAAGAAGAGAGTGGCCCTATGTCTGAAATGGTATAGGGTTTCCTGCCTGAGCTGGGAGTTGGACTAAATGACCTCCAAGGTCCCTTTCAACTTTTGTTCATTATCATCATCATTATCTTTATTAAAGAGGTCAAGGTGGCGAATATACCCAAAGCACTTTTTCTGTTTTCCCCACCACCATCACCCTGTGAGGTAGGTGGGTCTAACAGAGAGTTACCCAGCTAGCTTTCATGCTTAAGGAGGGACTAGAACTCAGTTTTGGGTGATTGGCTCAAAGTCATCCAACTGGCATTCATGGTTAAGGCAGGAGTAGAATTCACTGTCTTCTGGTAATTGGCCCAAAGTCACCCAGCCACTTTCATGCTTAAGGAGGGACTAGAACCCACAGGCTCCTAGTGATTGCGTAAAAGGCCTCCAGCCAGTTTCATGCCTAAAGGACTAGAATTCACCATCTCCCATTTTCTAGGATGGTGCTTTAACCACTCTAGACCCAACTAGCTCTCAAATTTATGTTAAGCATAGCCCTGTGGCGATTAATAAGCCACTTAAAAGAACTGATCCAGGAAAGTAACATGAGCATTTGTGTTTGAAGTAAAAGTTGACCCTCCAATCGATTCCAAAATTAACCAGTGGAACAACCTGCCTCCAGAAGCAGTGAATGCTCCAACACTGGAAGATTTTAAGAAGAGACTGGACAGCCATTTGTCTGAAATGGTATATAGGGCAGGGGTAGGCAACCTTGGCTCTTTTATGACTGGTGGACTTCAACTTCCAGAATTCCTGAGCCAGCCATGCTGAGGGGAAAGGGAGAGGTTTCCAAGCTGAGCCATGCTGGCTCAGGAATTCTGGGAGTTGAAGTCCACGAGTCATAAAAGAGCCAAGGTGGCCTACCCCTGGTATAGGGTTTCCTGCCTGAGCAGGGGGTTGAACTAGATGACCTCCAAGGTCCCTTCTGACTTTATTATTATTATTATTATTAGCAAGCTGCCTCCAGAAGTTGTGAATGCTCCAACACTGGAAGTTTTTAAGAAGCGACTGGACAGCCCTTTGTCTGAAATGGTGTAGAGTTTCCAGATGACCTCCAAGGTCCCTTCCAACTTTTTATTTTTTTATATTATTATTATTATTATTATTATTATTATTATTATTATTATTATTATTATTATACTAAGTACTACTACTACTACTACTATTATTATTATTATAGTGTAGCTGACAGGCAGAAATTCAACAGGGCTCTTTCATGCAGACTTAATGCAAACTTTCAGATTTTCCTTATACAGGTCGTCCACGACTTACAGCCGTTCATTTAGTGACCATTCAAAGTTACAAAGGCACTGAAAAAAGTGACTTACAATAGGTTTTTCACCCTCATCACCATGGCAGCATCCCCACGGTCATGTGATCAAAATTCAAACTCTTGGCAACTGGTTCACATTGCTGAAGGTCACAGCGTCCTGGGATCACGTGATCCCCTTTTGCAACCTTCCAGCGAGCAATGTTACTAACTTAACTGCAGGGATTCACTTAACTGGCATGAAAGGTCGTAAAACGGGGCAAAGCTCCCTTAACAAGTTTCTCACTCAGCCACATACATTTTGGGCTGAACTGTGGTCGTGAGTTGAGGACTTACCTACACAGTAGCAGGAAATGGAAAGGGGACATTAAATATCTGTTTTTAAAGCAGAGAAGCCCCCCCTTTGCCCAAGCCAGACCCCCCTTTCAGGCCCCTGTAATGACGTCAGACCCGTGGGAAAGTTCTCACTTAACGACGTCAATGCTGCCCCAATTTATACAAATTAAAAGCCTCCTTTTTTTCTTTCCTCCCGCGTTTAAAGCCAAAATTCCTCTTACCTCGCTACGTATTTTCTCCTCCCAGCTGCGGCCCAACCGGTTTCGCCTCCTCCGACCTCACCTATAAAAAGGCAGCCGACGCCATCTTGAAACAGAAAGGATTCTGGGAGCGACGGCGTTCCCACGCTCTCGACGTCGCAGCCGTTCTCTCCGCGCGCCTTCCATAGAGTCTTGGCAACACCCCCCCCCTCGATAGCCCTTTCGGCGAGGCGTTTGGAGCCAGCCATCGAGAATGAGAGGCCTAGAGCGTCGCCAGTCTCCGCTTAGGCCGGATTTCCTTCCTTGTGAAACGTGAACACGTCCTGGGAAGAAGAAGGAAAAGAAAAAAAGCTTAGGCTCCGCCCACTGTGTTAACCTCTCCCCCCGAAGAGGCTGGAGGAGGAGAAGGAGAGGAGAGGAATAGGGAGAAAGGGGCGTGGCCGGCGAGGGCGAGGTGGGGGGGGAAAAAGGCGCGCGAGGGGGCGGGGCCTGACAGGGCGGTGGGCGGGGCCGCGAGGGAGGGGGCGGGGCTCCCGCCGCCCGCTCCCTCCGCTTTTGTTCCGCCGGAGGCGAAGCGACCGGAGCGGCTTCAAGCGGCGGCGGCGGCGGAGGCGACTCCCGGAGCCATGTCCTACATCCCGGGCCAGCCCGTCACGGCCGTGGTGGTAAGCCGACCTTCCCTCCCCTCCGCACTCGTCGGACTACAAAGCCCATCCTCTGCGGCCGGAGGGGATGATGGGCACTGGAGTCCAAGCCCCCCGAGAGGGAGGGGTGGGGTGGGGTGGGTGTGTTTCCGTGTCGGCCCTGGGTTTCGTTTGCGCCTTTCCCGCCGCCCCAGCCCGTTCCCACGACCTGCAGACACGTGTCGGGCTCTCCCGGGGAGGAGGGGGAAACCCTGGCGCGCGGGCGTGGTCCACACGTGGAAGGAGGGAGGGAGGGAGGGGGGGAAATCGGGCTTGTTGGGGTCTCGGGGACTGGGAATGGAGCCCGAGGAGGGAGCCCCAGCCCCGTCCCCACAACCTGGCGTGACGGGGGAGCCCGCAGCCTTGCCGGGCAGGCGCTGGCTCTCCGGCTTGGCAGGTTGAGGACGGGTGGACTTTAACTCCAGCCGGTGATTAGTCACCTCCCGGGCTTTTTTGTGGGGGGAGGAAGGGGAAAAGTCCGGCCGTCTGAAAGCGGCTGGGGTTGAGAAAAGTCCCGGGACAGGTTCCCTCCTTCGGTGCCCGCAGCTTTTCCCCCGTTTCTTTGGGGTCCTCCAGGGAGCCTTCCATCCCCTTCCTCCTTCCTCCTGCTCTGCTCCCTCCTTTCCTCCCTTCCTCCTTCTGCTCTCCTTCCTTCCTTCCTTCCTTCTTTGATCCATTTCTCTTTCTTTCCTTCCTCCTTTCCTCCCTTTCTCTTTCCTCCCTTTCTCCTTCTGCTCTGCTTCCTTCCTTCCTTCTTTTATCCATTTTTCTTTCCTTCCTTCCTCCTTTCCTCCCTTTCTCTTTCCTCCCTTTCTCCTTCTGCTCTGCTTCCTTCCTTCCTCCTTTGATCCATTTTTCTTTCCTTCCTTCCTCCTTTCCTTCCTTTCTCTTTCCTCCCTTCTTCCTTCTCCTCTGCTACCTTCCTTCCTCCTCTGATCCATTTCTCCTTCCTTCCTCCTTTCCTCCCTTTCTCCTTTCTTCCTCCCTTCCTCCCTTTCTCTCTACTTCCTTTCTTTCTCCCTCTTTTTCTCCCTTTCTCATTTCTCCCTTTCTCTCTTCCTTCTGTTTTTCTTTCCTTCCTCATTTTCTCCTGTTCTGCTCCCCTCCCTCCCTCCCTCCCTGCCTTTCTTTCCATCTTTCCTTCCCTTTCTCCTCCCTCCCAGCCTTTCTCCTTCCTCCCTTCATGTTCTTCCTCTCTTCCTCCTTTTCTTCCTTTCTCATTTCTCCCTTTCTCTCTTCCTTCTGTTCTCCTTCAGTCCCTGCCTTTCTTTCCATTTTTCCTTCCCTTTCTCCTGCCTTCCTCTCTTTCTCCTCCCTCTCCCCCCCCCCCCCACGAAAACAGCCCCATCAGTTGGGCTGGGCTGAGATAGAGGGACGGACCCAGAGTCACCCATCCGGCTTTCATGCCTAAGGCAGGACTCGAACTCCCGTCTCCTGGTTTCTTCCTTGGGGCTCTTGGGCCTCCCTTCCATCCTCTCTTCTCTTCACTGAATCCCCTTCGGCCTGTCCTCGCCAAGGGGCACAGCCTGAAGACTCCGCCTCATCTTGGCCCCTGTCCTTGCTTCAACCCGCCTTGAGGTGCTTTGATTCGCATCTTATACAGCTAATTTCCCAGCATGACGGGGTTAAAGGCAGCCAGGGCAGCTAGTCCTCAGCTTAGCGACCGTTCGAAGTTCCGACAGCACTGAAACAAAGCGAATTAACGACCATTTTTCACCCTTAATGACCATTGCAGCATCCCCGTGGTCACATGATTTACATTCGGATGCTTGACAACTGACTCACATTTATGACGGTCGCAGCATCCTGGTTGTGTGTGTGTGTGTGAGATGTGATCGCCTTTTGCGAACTTCTGACGAGCAAAGTCAATGGGGGGGGGAAGCCGGATTCACTTAACAACCGGGTTTCTAATTTAACCACTGCAGTGATTCACTGAACAAACTGTGGCGAGGAAAGTCGTAAAAGGGGGCAAAACTCACTCGACGTAAATTTTGGTCTCAGTTGTCGTAAGTTGAGGACTGCCTGTCTTTCACTCTCTGCAAGAAAATCGACCGTTCCCAGGAGGTGGCTGAAAAGTCTTTCTTGAAAACCTCCCATTTCTGCAATGGGATTCTGTCCAATGTCTTCTTAAAAACCTCCAGTGACGGAGCGCCCACGATTTCTGGTGGCAAGCTGTTCCACTGGTTAATTGTCCTCACTATTAGGAAGTTTCTCCTTAGTTCCAGGTTGCTTCTCTCCTTGATCAGTTTCCACCCATTGCTTCTCGTCCTGCCTTCTGGTGCTTTGGAGAATAGCTTGACTCCCTCTTCTTTGGGGCAGCCCCTGAGATACTGGAAGGCTGCTATCATGTCCCCCCTCGTCCTTCTCTTCATTAAACTGGACATACCCAATTCCAGCAACCTTTCCTTGTATGTTTTAGCCTCCAGTCCCCTAATCATCTTTGTTGGTCTTCTCTGCACTTTTTCCAGAGTCTCAACATCTGTTTTACATCGTGGTGACCAAAACTGGATGCCGTATTCAGTTGTCATGGTTGTCCCAAAGGTGTTTTCCCCCCAAAAAACCAATAGGACTTTCTAGTTTTGTTTTGTTTTTTCCTTGAAAATGTTTCGCTTCTCATCCATGAAGCTTCTTCAGTTCCTTTTGAAAAGCACCTTTGGGTCCTTTCTCCAAAAACAAAGTGTGGAGTCAAACACTGGAAGTTTTTAAGAAGAGACTGGACAGCCATTTGTCTGAAATGGTATAGGGTTTCCTGCCTGAGCAGGGGGTTGGACTGGATGACCTCCAAGATCCCTTCCAACTTTTTTATTGTTGTTGTTGTTATTATTTAGTGAGCATTCAGAGTTACAGCGGCACCGAAAAATGTGAGTTGTGACCGCTTTTCACAGTTATGACCTTTGCAGCATCCCCAGGGTCACGTGATCAAAATTCAGACGCTTGGCCACTGGTTCATACTTACGACAGTTGCCGTATTCCGCGATCACCTGATTCCCTTTTGCGACCTTCTGACAAGCAAAGTCAATGGGGGAAAGCCGGATTCACTTAACGACCGGGTTACTAAGTGAACAACTGCAGGGATTCCCTTCACGACGGTGGCAAGCAAGGTCGTAAAATGGGGCAAAACTCAACTTAGCAACTGTCTTAGCAATGGAAATTTTGGGCTTGGATTGTCCTTATAAGTTGAGGACCACTCGTATGCCTTCCTCAGAGGGTTGTTGTTGTTTTTTTTGAGGGGGGGGGCAGGTTAGGTTTCCTCTTTTCCTTCTGAAATCTGCCCCTGTTCCATATCCCCATTAAATGTCGATGGACATTCTCCGTCATCCAGGTCATGGTTATCCCAAAGGTGCTTTTTCACGAGGCAACTGGACTTTCTTGTTTTTCTTTGAAGACGTTCGCTTCTTATCCCAGAAGCTTCTTCAGCTCTGACTGGGATAGTGGGGAATGGAAGGATTTATACTCCTTGCAGACAGCCGGTCATTTGCCTTCTTTTAGAGAGGCCTTGAGGCCACTTGGAGGTTTACCTGTGTCCTCAGAGTCACTTGAGCAGTGCAGATGGGTGTGGAGCCATCTTGGAACCGCTGAAAGGACCGCGTTGTAGACTGGACATAGATGATGTCGTATCCCTCCCCCTCTATTGGGAGAGGGCTGTTCAGTCTTGACCTAGATGGCCTCTTTGACCCCTCTTTCAAGCCAGCGGTCCTCTCTGTCCAAAAGGTGGACTTTGCTGTCTTCGAAAGAGCGGCCTTCGTCTTTTAAAGGCAGGTGGGCTGCTGAATCTTGTCCTGATGGGTTTGTTCTGCTATGTTGTGCCACGCATTTGTGAAGTGGTTTTGTTTCCCCGATGTATAGATCTGCCCCATGCCAGGGGTCTTCAAACCTGGCCCTTTTGTGACTTGTGAACTTCAACTCCCAGAATTCCTCAGCCAGGAGGCTTTAAGACAGGGGTCTTCCAACTTGGCCCTTTTATGACTTGTGAACTTCAACTCCCAGAATTCCTCAGCCAGGATGCTTTAAGACAGGGGTCTTCCAACTGGGCCCTTTTAGGACTTGTGGACTTCAACTCCCAGAATTCCTCAGCCAGGATGCTTTAAGACAGGGGTCTTCCAACTGGGCCCTTTGATGACTTGTGGACTTCAACTCCCAGAATTCCTCAGCCAGCGTGCCTGGCTGAGGAATTCTGGGAGTTGAAGTCCACAAGTCCTAAAAGGGCCAAGTTGGAAGACCCCTGCCCTATCCATATCCCCACTACTTTCCCTCGACCTGCTTGAGTTTCCTTTAAAATCCTGAATTTGAATCTTGAGTTTGCCTGCCCCACAGTCCAAATCTTAGCCCCTCCTTCTCTTCATCTCTGGAGAATTAGATCATTTTGAACTCAATTCCTCTTTTAAACCCCTCCGGGGGGAATGTCTGGTTTACTTCACGCAATAGCTAGGAGGAATGAAATGTGTTGCAATCATTGGACTTTATCGTGTGTGAGTTATGATTAGTTCAGTTTTCTGCATGCAGCAGATTAACACATGTTTTGTTCTAAAGGAGTGAATCATACGTTGGATTAGCTCAACCGGACGAATGTTGTTGCTTTCCCCAAAACCTTGTGCGTGCATAGCTGCTCATTTCTTACCTGTGGGATTAAAACGAACAAAAATGATTTCATAGGTGTAATGTGAAGGATAGACACTTAAAAAAAAAAAAATCCAGGTTGTAAGAACCAGCTCTGCTGCAAAATTCAGGGAAGTGCTATTAGGGAGTGAGTCAGCCCAAATTGGTCATTTTGGTAGATGGGCTGTTTTTATTAATTTATTTATTCAGAGCTGTTAAGGAGAGGTTTAGTTCAAATACATTATTTTGGTAAATGGGTGGTTTTATTAATTTATATTTTAACAGCTGTTAGGGGGAGAGGCTCAGCCCAAATTAAGTCATTTTAGTAGATGAGTAGTTTTATTTATTAAGAGCTATTAGGGAGAGACTCAGCCCAAGAGTGGTTA